ATGCAGATGGTAAGGAGATGCTGAGATGGTAAGGAGATGGCAGTCATTCTGCCAATGTTGCCTCAATGCATACTGTCCAACATGCAGTGGGCTTTGGGGAAGCAGTAATCATCAAATACTGACACCATTCTTGTCTGCATACAGCTTACTGTCCTGTGGAGAAGGTATATCTCCACTGATTATATAGTTAAATATCATTGCAGTCACAACTAACATCTACATGGGAGGAAGTATTCTAAGCACTTTCCCATCTTAACCTATTTAATGGTCATCAAGGAAAATCAACAAAACAGTGAGATATGGTGGTGCTCAGCCACTGTGAGTTCAAGGCCAGCCTGGTGTTTATAGTGAGTTCCAGGTCAGCCAGGGCTATGTAGTGAGTCCTTGTTTTAAAAGAAAACAAATAAAAACCAATAATCAAACCCCCAACTAAACAAATAATACCAAGTGATTGTTTGTTTACTTATTACTTTTGGCAGTACTGAGGCGTGAACCTAGGCTTTCATGAAGGCCAGCAAGCACTCTACTACTCTGCTATATCCCAGCTATCTTCCTACCACCTCCTTTTGGAACAGGTTCCAACAAAGTTGCTCACAGTGGACTAAAACACACTCTGTAGTCCAGACATGCCTAGAATCTATGATCCTTCCATCTCAATATCCAAGGTAGCTGGGATTATAGGCGTGTACCACCAGGCCTGGATCTGAAATGTGATTTAGGGGACAGAGAGCCAGCCCATGGGATAAGAACACTTGCTGCCCTTTCAGAGGGGTTTTGGGCTTAGTTCCCACTATCCATATCAGGTGACTTACAATTGTCTGTAACTCCAGTTCCAGGAGATCTGATGTCCCTAGCCCACATGAGCACCTGTACCCATATGGCACACATGGGTACATAAACTCACGCAGGTGTATGCACACAGACATACATAAAAACAATACATTTCCTAGCTGGACAGTGGTGATGCATGTATGCCTTTAATCCCAGCACTCAGGAGGCAGAGGCAGGAGTATCTCTAAGTTCAAGGACAGTCTGGTTTGCAAAGCTAGTTCCAGGAGGCCAGGGCTACATAGAGAAACCCTGTTGGTTGCTGAGCTCTGATTCTCACAGTCTCACAGTTCTATTCAGCTATTAGATGAGGAGACAGAAGGGGAGTGTGTCCCTTGCTTTTAAGGTCATGCTCTTGGAGCTGCACAGAACTGCACCTTCCCTCCTGGAACTGTCACTTCATTACATGGCCACACTAGTCATCCTCACCTGAAAGGACAGGCACAATTTGAACCTGGTGGCTCCGCTAGTGTCCAAACATGAGTTGAAAGGATGGTGGGAGACACATGTTTGTCTCTGGGGAAGGACCATGGAGGGAAGCTTTCACCTTTTACCCAAATCATTCTGTTCTGTGTTCCACAAAGATCCAAACCTCAAAGTCAGTGTTGAAGAGAGTCAGGTCCACCCAGCATGTTTTTGTTTTTGTTTTTTGTAAAACTGTGATCTTAACCTTGGGACTTTGGAAAGCTCAGATTTAAGCCCAGGAGTCCAGGTTCTCTTTCTCAGTAGCTGTTTGTTTGGGCACCTCTCCAAGCCTGAGTTTCTTCACCTACAAAACTTTGGAAATGGGTTGGATCGAAGGTTAAAAGTGAAGCACGCAGAGCTAACAGGAGCTTACTGTTTAGTAATGAATCCTATTCTTATTTCACCTTCCTCTTAAAAATTCAGTAAAATAATCCATGCAATTAATTAAATTCTTCAGACAGCTCTGTATCTTCTGGAGACAGGCCATATATAAAGCCACTTGGTTATAAGTATGCAAATGTAAATGTCACTTAAGCTTTTTATTTATTCACTTATAAGGGTGTCTCTCTACCCAGGGAAGTGAAACCTTATCTGTTTGAGTGTGCCAGGGCACCCTTGCTGTATTTGCAGTTTAATAAAGAGTAGAGGTGAGAGCTAAATGCCTGGTACATGCTGGCTCTCGTGCGCCCTCTCTAAGTCGCTAGCATTTTCTTCTTGAGAAGGCTTGAGCCTTCATGTGCATGATTGCAGTGATGCTTGGCCTGAGGTGGAACATAGTTAGCTACTTTATAAACTAAGGAAGGCTCTATCAGCATCTATGAGTAGTAGTAATACAGATGCATATTAATGTAAAACGCCAAACACTGCTTGACATTGGTGATCAAGACTTTCTAATCCATACTAGATGAAAATGTCTTCATGTGTTGACTTCTTCCCTATGGTTTAAGTTGTTTTCTGGTTTGGATATAGAGCTCATGTAGCCCAGGCTGGCCTCAAGCTCGCTGTATGGTTGAGGCTGGCCTTGCATGTTTAGTCCTCTTGCCTCCACGTCCCCAATACTGGGATTACAGGCTTTCACCATAATGCTTGTTTTTCCTGTTGTTCTGTGTGTGCATATTCATTTGGTCAACACTGGGTGTCATTTCTCCATTCCTCAGGTGTGCCATCCATTTTGTTTTTGTATTTATTTATTTATTTTTGAGGTAGCTCCTTCTGGCCTGGAGCTCACCAAGTAGGCTAAGTTGGTTCCATAGCAAACCTCAGGGATCTGCTTGTCACTGCTTCTCCAGTGCTAGGGAGAAGTGTCAGGGCCAAAGTGGCCCTCAAAATGGCAGTGCTGGTGACAATACCCTACAGAGGGACTTTGGCAGGATAAACAGAAGGACTATTATCAGGTAAGTAATTGTGAAAGCAAGTTTATGTTTCCCAGGAAAGGCAGATTTCCTAAGGAGGGTTATGGTTATCAGGAACTACCCTTAATCACCCCCCCTAACCCCACAAGTCAATTACCTAGTTCCTAGTCAGTCTAGGTAGTTTATAACTGTGTCAGCTCAAAGATCCCTGCCCTCTTGGCATATAAAATCTGCTTGCTTTTCTGGTAGTTTGCTTGTCTCTCTGCCCCCACTCCAAGATTAGTTTGATGGCCAATAAACCTTTCTACCCATGGAGCGGTCCAGTTTGGTGGTTTCACTGTGCCCTCAATTACAATGCCCAGCATTTTTATGTGGGTTCTGGGACTAGACTAAGGTCCCAGAAGAAAGAGTGTGAGCTTTCTCTAGCCCACTCACTATGGAAGAAGAGCCAATGCCCTGCTTAGTGGAAGACTGTTTTATTCTAGGTTGACACACTTAAGAGAAATAATCTTGTTTTCTTGAACTGGTTTTGTTTTGAGATTCTTTGTTGTTCCAAAGAGAATGTGTGGACTGTGTCTCAAAGGATATAAATCATTAGACTTTGTCAGAAAGCCTGAGTATAATTACAGGAACGATAAATCAGCACATGTCAGAAAACATGGAGGGTAACTCAGAAGTAAGTAGTTGGAGAATCTGAAGGAAAGAAAGGCTTAGCTTCGAAAATGCCATAATTATTTTTCTCCTCAAAAAAAAAAAAAAAAAAAAGGAAACATAGAGGTTGAGTATGGTGGCCCACACCTTCAATCCTAGGACTTGGGAGGCATGTGGATCTCTGTGAATTCCATGCTAGCCAGGGCTATATAAAGAGACTTCTTAATGAACAAACAGGCAAACAAACAACTCAGCTATCACAGCTATTTTGGTAAATGGGGGAAGAAACCATTGTTTAAAGGAAACTTTAAAGAAATCGAGATACTTTTTTCCTTCATGTGTGTAGCATAACCATTAGGGTCCTTGAGAACACTTAAATAATGTACAAAGAACACTTAAAAATGTTTAAAGTGGGACTAGAGAGATGGCTCAGCAGGTAAAGGAGCCTACCACCAAGCCTGATGATCTGAGTTGGATTTCCAGGACCAAAAGGCAGGAGAGAAACTTTAGTAGGATCTCACTACTCTGGACAATAAAATTCTAAACATTGCTTTTATTTATTTATTTTTCTCATTTTCCCTTAGTGGGTAAGTAGGAATGCCTTTTTGTTGTTGATGTTGTTGTTGTTGTTTTTATAAATCTTATATACTAAATGTTTATGGACTGTGGTTCTGGGTTACCTAACATTGCATAAGTGGTTTCCCTTACCATTACAAATTCTTCCGTTACACAGTCACAGTATTTAATTACGCAGTATTTCTTGCATGTTTCCCATGTTCCATCAACCACAACTCAGAAAAAGCAAGTCAGAATGTATCAAAAGGCAATACATTAAAAGTACAACATATTTTCTTTGGCGGACTTTCTTTTTTTCTCTTTAGTGACCAGGCCCCCTTCAAGCCTGGAAGGAACGCATTGGGATGATTTCAGCCAAGGCTTTGCAGAAAGAACCTGCTTGACATAATTTCATAGCAAAGACAAATCAAAAGTAAACTGTTGAAACAAGTTGGCCCAGGGGACTTCTACAATATAAGGTAAACACCTTAATCTGTTTACCGTTGTGTGTCTGGCAACATTCTATACAGCACGCTAATCCTCCAGTCCTTCTATTACAGCCCCACATGAACACAAAGTGGTAACTAAACCCACGGAGGAGCTTAGGTTCAAAGCTTCAAATCCCTGTGGGTGCTAATCCTGTTCCTTCCTTCATACGAGACTATCCGCCCATTTTGGCAGCGTGTGTAAACCAAAATCTCATAGACGGAGGTCTCAAGTCACTCATCTGGCCCTAGTCACCTAAAGATTAAGGCGTGATTTGTTCTAGGAATACTCTCTCTCATGATTTCAGAAGACTGATCCGACTGCACCATTAACTTCACCTAAACAGCGTTAATAACCTATTTGTGCCTGCATCCTCTATTTTATGGGCCGAAGAATGTATTTACACACATATTACATATATTTTATAATACATGTACACATATGTATATATATTTCACGTTGCGTTAAGTAATCCTTTGTGGTGTTGAGGATTGTGCTTTGGGTCAATTCGACTTATCCAGGCGGTTCCAATAGAAGCAGACACATTTCCTAGGGGCCCATCCTCTTACAGTCAGTCTGCCTTTCTTCTAGCTCGCTGCTGCTTTTTTATGCACACACTGACTTCCCTTTTCTGCTTTGTGGTTGACGGAGCATGAGAAACACTCTGGAAACCCTGCTTGGCTAAACCCTTCCTGGGCGCCCGGAACACCGGCCGCGGAGGTAGTGAAACGGCAGGAACTTTAACACCCCGCAGTGGCGCCCAGCCAGCATAATTTTTGGCCCGAGCCACTTCTCGTACTCAGGAAACTTTGTCCCTCACAGACAGCCAGGTCTGGAGGTCGGCCCGCGGGAGGGACACGCCGCCCATGCTCTCTGCCGCCAGAAGGGCTCTCCAGCTCCTCTCCAGCCCCATCCCGGCAACGAGGATGGGCGACTCTGCTTCGAAGGTCATCAGCGCGCAGGAAGCCT